CAAGTCCAATTGCTTTGATATTACATATATAGGTACTACATGTGGACCTCTCTCAGATTTGTTCATTTTGTAATGATATCTTTAATTCTCTAATTTCGGTGAATATTTTTGTAATTTTTGGTAAAAAGTGATATTTTTAACTTCTTGTTAAAAACCACAAGTCCAATTGCTTTGATATTACATATATAGGTACTACATGTGGACCTCTCTCAGATTTGTTCATTTCATGATGATATCTTTAATTCTCTAATTTTGATAAATATTTTTGTAATTTTTGGTAAAAAGTGATATTTTCGACTTCTTGTTGAAAACCGCAAGTCCAATTGCTTTGATATATTATACATATAGGTACTACATGTGGACCTCTCTCAAATTTGTTCATTTTCTAATGATATCTTCTGTTCTTTAATTGCCATGTGCATTGCTAACAGCGGAGCTATCTCAGCCGACAGGCTGCTTGTTTATATGTACATTCCTTTCATATTTTGGTTGCATTAGACCAATGCACTCTCTTATCCCAGAGTTCTTAGCGTAGGCAGGCTAACACCTCTGCCACACATGACTTTTTACGCTATGATTTGCCACATATTATTCAAGACGTACCCAGTTGGCAAGGAAACTATTACGGTAAATCTTTTTCTTCCCATACTTTTCCCATAACTTCCATCTGTTTTGGTTTCAATTTCGCGTCAGAATACCTTTTAAAGTTCCCACGGACTCCACCATATTTAAATATAGTTCAGGTTTTACCATACCAATGACCTTTGATTTGCATACATGCATAATTAAGCTGTGGCTGAGTTGATTTGAAGAAGCGCTATCTTGTGTGGAGAGTGTTGCTGAACTTCAATTTTGGTGAAGTATATCAACGCCATATTTTCTAATAAAAGATCAACATTTCGACGTTGACCTATAAAAAAAAACAATTCAAGTTCAAAATCAAATCACTCAATTTTTGCAACAGTGTTCGGTTTGATCCATGCCTTTCCTGCATTATGCATCTTGCAGTGAATGGAATATCACCCAGCCTGTATCACCTATTGCCTTGATTAAACTTTTTTTTTTGGATCAATTAAAAAATTATATGCCACATACTTCGTACTATTATTATTATTTTTGGTCCATGTCATAATTACGGTACAGAAAAAATGGAGAAAAAAATGGATCACCTGAAATTTTCTTTTCTAAACATGCATCAGAAACGCCATGGATAAAAATCTAGCAATAACCTAAACTGCAGTACATGTCCTTACTCTGGCTTTTCAGTGATTTTTTGTGACTCAAGTAAATGCCCTTGCAACATGTTTTTTCAATGCCAAAACAGTTATAAATATGTTTGTCGCTATTATAGATATTGTGTGAACAATGTGGATAATAAACACATTATGGAATACTCAGTAGCATTCTTAGTGAATTTCCTGTATAAAGATAGTGTAACCATGCCAACATTTATATTAACTAGACAGTTTCTCAATATATCTCCACTGGAATTCAGATTATATAAACATTGACTCGCAGCGAAGAGAAAATATCCCTGCAAGAAGTCTACTATTATAAATAATCCCTATAACTATTAGTATCTCAAAGCAAATAATTGTAAGGTAGTTTTTTTTGTTTTTTGTTTTATATAACTCAACTTTGTGACATCAATATTGGCATATACATGTAAGTGCTTTAAATACCATAATTTTGACTGCCAAAATTTGATTTATCATTTTGTATATTATCTCTGTATTTTATATTTTTCAATAAAATCTCCATTAATTTTTTCACTAAATGGACATAATTTCCCGAAAGATTTGAAAAAGTATGGAAATAATTTTGCAGGTGAATTATTAAGTTTTATCTGAATAGACAAGTAAAAGTTGACTTCAGCATCAAATAAAGGAATTAATCATTTGAATGCCAGAAGTCCACTTTTACTTGTCTATTCAGATAAAACTTAATATTGTGTTATTTCCTAAGTGTCTTTATTTTATTGTGCACAAATTGATTGTAACAAAAACAGTAGAAGAAATAATGAA